GAGATCAGACGCATAGATTTATGTGTAGTGTCTTTGTTTTCGATTGGATCCTGGTAGATCTTCGAGGACAAAACGGTCATTATTGAAACTACGAACGGTCCTTTGTATCGACATTGAAGTTTACGGGACATAGCAATGGATGCTGGTTCTCGATCTGTCAGAACTAAATCACCTTGCGCATATTTCGTTGGTTTTGTATGTTTACAGTCGGAACGTATTTTAGCGTAGGCTCGTTAACAATCGGTGTTATTAGCAGCAATTATTCGTCGTCGATGGAGTTCTTCTTGAGTGATGGGAATAGTATCGTCTTCGTCTTCTTCTTCATCTGGCTCCTTTTAATTTGAGTTTTAAGTTGCTCCAAATCGATTGTTAATAGTTTTTTAATAATATTTTCTTTTTGTTTTAATTTGCGTGCCTTATTTATAATCCATTCTATATCATCTTTATTATCTAATTTCTCATCCGAATCAAAACTACGTTTACGATTATCAAAATTTTGCTCCACAGGTTCCTCAGTCAATGGTAACAAAAACTTCCCTTTTAATTTCTGTCGCGGTTTTTTAACTTTCTTTTTTGCTTTTTGAACTTTACGATTTCAGTTTTAGGGAGTGTATCTGAAGCTGTAGTAATTCTTATATCATCTAAAGTTTCCAAATTTTTTCCACCTTTGTTTTAATTTCCAATAATTTTCTACGATGCTCTTGCTCCTGTTCTAGATTTTAGCTGATACCATTCCTGCCTGTAGCGAAATATTCTCGAAATTCATTCATCACCGCTAACACTTTTCTTTTAGAGTTTGAATTTACCGTATCCATACAAACGTCATCTTCCATTTTTGGGCTGTGTTTATTCATTTTACAAATCCTTTTAACTTTGTTTTCGAATTTAAGCCGTTGTCATAGACGGCGCGTATATTTTCGCAAATAAATACTTCTACACCGAGCAATAAATCATAGTTCAACTCATTATCTTCGAAAATGTGCAGCGTCAACGGTTTTTAAACATAATCGATTTTCAAATCCGTCTCAATTTGTAAATTGAATCATTCTTTACCATTACCGAATCCACTAATGGTAAATAGGCGTTTTCTGTGCGTACAACTTATATCGTTGGCAAATGTTTCTCGAACCATATTACATTCGCTGATCATTGGGAATGATTTTCAGTTCCATTAGGATAATGATTCAAAGCATTCTGCCTTGAACACTAAGCTTTGGTTATTATATAACTGTCGAAAAGTGATAAAAACACCTCCGCATAGTCCAGACTTAAACCTCATAGAACATCTTTAGGGTCATTTGGAGTCCATATTAAGAAAACATAGCTTTTAACAAGCAACAGATGCAACAGATTCTAATGGACGAATGGGCTTATGTAGATCCAGCTTTGACAGCAAAATTAGTCCAATCAATGTCAAAGCGTTTAAAAGAGGTACTAAAACGTAAAGAACGTTTAACAAAATATTGAATTTTAGTTATTGTTACCAAAACTGCAGTCCTTTGCATAAATGACGAATACTTTTTTGCTGTATATTTTGGTGCTCCGCAATAGAATTGCTTTTTTTGTCATTTTGATTTTAAGTTTTTGGAGTAAAAACTATTAAAACAAATGAAATAAATACAAACGTTGAAAAGTGCATTATTATTTTTTTATTTTTTTGTTTCGTTTTGTTGTTATTATAACATTTTACAAAAATTTAGTCAATGACGAATACTTTTTTTGACCGCTGTATATTGTTTTAATTTTAAATTCATAAACACTTGAGGTTTAAGCTTTTTACTAAAAATTAAGCACTGAGGATGTTCTAAAATAAATAATGAAATATTTGCTTCAAATTTCTAAATTAAGGCAGCTTATTGGGGTTTGTCTGATAGCTGCAAAAATTTTAATTAATTAATAAAAAATTATTTTTAATTTTTATTTAGAAAGATTCAATGACTTAGAATGTTTTTAATGATGCTGGAAGAAAATATAGTGAGCAATATAATATAATATAAAGCAATACAATATAGTGAGCAAATGACATATAAGAACAACGAAATTGGCAACAAATGGTTGCCATTTGATTTCATTGATATCAACTCAATCAGTAGAAGAAGAACTCGTACAAATAGAGAAGACTAGACGTAGGATATCGTGGCTTAAAAATGGAAATAAATAAAAAATGAATCCTGTTAGCCAATGTTCAAATCGGACATGACATCTAGAAAAGTAAGGAATATGTAGCAGATATGGTTCTTCTAATGATTTCTAATTGAATTCTTAGATTCATAGAGTTTGTCGGCCTTTCATTGTAAGTTGGTATAATTAAGTTTGACTTTATTACGTGTTTGGGTATTTGTTCCAATTCCGGTACAAAATAAGTCTTTCAGATTTTGGAGGGAATATACAGCGCATATATCTCTTTAACACAATATGTGAAGTAACTATCGAATTCAAAACAAATTTTTCAGTGTGATATTTATGTAGAATAAGAATTTGGCGAAAACTAGCTTTGATAAGGAATATAATATGTAGATTGCAGTATATATTAGATCGCCGCATCCTGACTTCCTTTAAAAATATGAAACAATTTATTAATTTTTCTTATTTTTTTTATTTGTTTTAATTTTTTTTTTATTTATGATTTACAAGATTGAAGCCTATTTGTATAATAATATAACTTTAACATTTACTAACAAAACTTTTTTAATTATAAAAATGCTGTTTGAGTAATTTTTTGTGTTTTTTTTTTAGTTAACATTGTAAGGACATAAGTTGGTCACTTAAGTATAAATAAAATTTCTTTAACTTTAATTTTAAGCAAAACATTATAATTATAATTATGTAATTATGTAATTATATAATTATAATAAAAATTTAAATTCTTAGTATCTCGAAAAAAATCTCGGGTCTTTTAAAATTAATAAGCGTTTCCTTTGGAAGAACTATACTAAATATAATTTTCATGCATGTGTTGATTTATCATTTACATATATATGTATGTTATGTCATATCCAACTTATCCGTAAGTCTTAACGATTTCTATAGTAAATCATTTGCTAAATAATCGATAAATATTTACTACAATAATAAACTTGTATGTACAGCTTAACATAAATAAATTGCTTTCTCTACAATTGCATAACAAATCTGTTTTTATTAGGAAAATATGTATGTATATAGGCTTGAGCATCTCGACTATAAAATAGGTTGTGTTTTATTAGTTATATTATTAATTATTTGTCATTATGGAAACAATTCGAGGAGGACGGTTACCTTAAAATAAATAGTCAAAGAAGTAGATTTTGGTACTTTTTGTGTTCAACAATGAATTGAGCTAAATTCATTAATTTTTTCATTATTCATTATTTCGCTCTAATTATTTTAATAGCTTTCTATACCCTGATATATGTTTTTTCTTTACATTATTTTAAATAATTAGTTTTCAGTTTCGCACACTCCACACTCCATACTTCACACTTCACACTTCACACGCCACATTCAATACTAATTTTTATCGACTAAGCCATTAAGATGGTATATTGTACATAAATAATGGTTTAGTTAATAAATTTATTAAAGCGATTTTAGTTTACATTTAAAACTACCTTTAAAAGTTAGATTATTCAGTAACTTATATTAAATTATTATATATTATTATGTATTAGTGTATGTATACATGTATGTATGTACAATGTACTAAGTACCATATTAAAAAATATTTGTATATATGTAATAGCTAATAATTTTAATTAAAATTCTTGCAAATGACTTTGCAAGAATGTCTTAAAAGGAGGTACCATTCATTTCGTAGTGGGGCTCATATAAGTTGGTTTAATATTCCAGAAACCGGGCAAGAATTTTTCGATTTATCTCAAATTATTGGCCGCTTTTCAGGAAATTTGACACGGAATTTAATGTTAGCTCCTTTTACATTCAAATTATTCCTTCTTCTATTCTTTTTTTTTTTAATTATTATTTTACAGTCACGCAAGTGACATATGTTAGTATAAATTGTGGGACAGTTAAGTTTTTCTAGATATGCTAATTCGTCGTTGGTTTAATAAAAATCGATCGGGTTGGGACGAATGATATGTTCACTTATTGTTAGAAGTTACAATACTCGAAATAAAATAACACAAACTTAAACTTAAACTTAAAATGGATTAATCTGGGATCCTGAGATGTGTCGGTCTAAAATTTTAATGACTTGAAACTGAGAGTTCCATTCAACTGATTGCTGATTCAACTGATTAATATGACCGAACACATCTAATTTTTATTGAAAGGTTAAAAACTTAATATATGAAAAGAATGGAAGTTTGGAAATGGAAATTGCGGAAAATCGCCTGTGAGTAAGGAAATGCATTTACTCTTGATACAAGATAAGTTTCTCCAAAAGCATAGACTAAGAACAATTGACATGCCTGTGGCACGCTGATCAAATTGAATGAAAATCGATATAAGTGATGATGCTAAGCAATTTATTTCAATTACTGAAAATATAATTTTTTATTAGTTCGTTGAGTAGTAAATATTAAGAAAAAAATCCAATTTATTGAGAATAAAAATAACAGACCGAGACCAAGAGTAATTGCCACTTCCACCACACGCGTTACTTGGTAAAATTATGAGAAATGAATACATACTTAAAATATTTGTTTTATTGAAGTTATTTAAACAAAAAATAAATTTTAAAATCAGTTAAAAATTTTTCACATTTACATATAAAAATTTACTGAAGCGAAATAATTGAATTGGGATCCACGGGGACACACGATGAAAACATTTTCATTTTCATTTTCATTTTCGTTTTATTTATCGAAAAAAAAACGGCTGAATGGAAAATATACTTAACCTACATTGCATACTTATTTTTTTTATTTATTTTAATTCATATTTATGTATTATAGTATTATGTGTTTATATATACTTTGGCACAGTAAAAATAGTTATAAAACATTGTACTAAAACATATGTACTAAATACTTAACTAATTTTATATATTCTCTGTGTTTTTAATACTTAAATTTTTACTTAATTGGAATAATTAGTTACTAATTACAAACGATTAGAATAAGTCCTTGAATGCAAGTTTCATAATAATGTTTTAGATATATTTTGTAGTTATTGTATCTATGGTTTTGGTTTTTGATTACAAATTTATGATATTCTGCTCGTAATCACCCCAAATGCATTATTTTCTTAAATGCCTTCCTAAATTCGGGGTTGAAAATTGTGTAAATGACCGGATTCACAAAGCTGTTGATGTAGCCGAGCCAGGTGGTAAGAATGAAAGCAGTAACGCCGGGCCTACAGTCCTTATCGAATTTCGCGCACATTGCGTCCATTATATTGCAGGTGAAGAAGGGAACCCAACAAAACAGAAAAACACCTAAGAAAATAATTAAATTATACTTATTATGTAAAAGAAAGAAATTTTAAAATTGTTTACAAATGCACTTGGCACTTTGCTTGTGCCATAATATGGTATATGTTAGTTGAAAATAAATTGTATGTAGTCATGGAAAACAAAATCTGCGGCTATATGGAGTAGGATTTCTACTACATCCGAAGTTACTGGATTTTAACTATTTCTACTTTTCAAAGAATGCGTTCGATTTAAGTGCATTCAAGTTCCTTCTCATCGCGAAAAGTCAAACTGTATTAACTTTATGGCAAGTCTTTAGATTTTAGTTTTTACTATGCAGTGATGGGTAATTTAATTAGCAGTATTAAAATGATTATGAAGTTCTGGACAGAGGAAAAAGCAAGAAGAAAAACGAAAATAATAATGTAATTGACACTTTTTTCATTAGAAGTGATTAAAATTTATTCAAAAGAAAGTGGGGGTGACAGAAGTGCGCTTCGCTCACCAAAGTTGCTCAAACATGCCATAAAAATTTAATTGAATGCAGTTAAAAAGTTCTGCTTATACTTTTACTTAATTTGTAGCTGATTGACTTACCCAGGACGATGGCAAGTGTTTTTGTTGCTTTCCGCTCCTTTTTAGCTGACGATTTTTCGCGTTTCTTTTTCGACGCCTTATGCACCTTATAAATCGTAAATCTGCTTTGTCAATTTGTATATGATGGGCGTAGAGAGCGGCGTGTGAAGGATGAAAGGATATAAAAGATATAAAAGCAAAAAATATATAATAATAAGAAGTTTAACAAGACCAGAAACGAATGAAACGAATATTATTTCGAGATGTTATTTCGAGATGCTGTGAAACGCCATTCAAACTTTTAATTAGAGTAGTTTTAGTGGAATGTTCTTCCTGTGAACGCAGGGGTTATGAAACCTACCTTGATGCCTGTGAGTTTTTTTTATCCTTGCGAGAGGAAGTTTTCGATGTTGCTGATAGTGTGGAGTCGTTGCGTGCAAGTGTCATGGCCTCCTGGACACCATATCGTACGAAGGACAATGGTTTCATAGCAACGCTGTGAAAAAAGAAGGAAAACAATGAAACTAAACTAAATAAAAAAGGATATAAATGTCAATAAATTTCAAAAACTGTCAACTTAAATTTATGTGAAAACTTCAAAGTTTTTCCGCAGTTAATAAATTTACCTAAGAGGCGGTTCCATTCTTGGTGATCCCTCAACTGTGTTTCGTCTGCTGCTCACACTTGACCGTTTCAATGTTCCACTAGCCACGGGACTATCTGGTGGCGATGAATCAGCTGCGCCTGCAAGGACATCGTCAACGTTTGATGGTGCATAACCAGAATCATGATTACCATTTGGGTCAGCCACGACTAATTGTGGTTGTGTGGTGATTTGCGCGACAACACTGCTTGACGTCCAGTAAAAAAATTATTTACGTGTTTTGCACAAATGCAACGTCGCCATTATGTTTGAAGATATCAGCAGTAATGTAAGTTAAACACCGATTCATCAAAAAATTACATGAAAGAAAGCATTTTATTTATTATATTGTGAAATAGTCAAATGCATATTGATAACTTTAACTCCAGCAGTGAACAAATACAAAAGTAGTTTCTAAATATGTTATCTGTTAAATCTGAGTTCAATTTTGTAATAACCTCTCTCTGCTTATACTATATCCAAATTAAGTCATAATGGTCCAATGCATCAAAGTTGTAGTTAAAAAAAATATATAATTTACTTGTTTTCATATATGTAAATTCTTAATTTTTCAAAATGAAATATTTTAAAAACTGTTCCTTAGCCTAAAATTCTGTACAAAACACTGAAAATTACTTAATACGTCCACTGCAGAGCAGATGATAGATTAATTATAAAATGATTGCATCTTGCACACAAAAATAAAAGGATTTACTGTTCTCCATTTCATTTTTATGACATTTAGATGTACATACATACTTTTTAAAATATTTTTTCTTAATCAAAACCAAATAAGCTTTAATATTAATTACCGTACTATTAACCAAATTAGTTATTGTCCCGCCCAAATTTAGCAAAGTGCAAACGATGATTCAAACTTACTTGCCAGTCTCCTCTACAACCGTTGCTAGCATAAATTCGGTAGACTTGTCGTTTACAATAACGTGACAATCATCAATATCTGGCGAAATAGCATTCTCATCTTCCTCTTCGTTTGACCCGGATGCGGTATTTGTCGCAGGTTCATCAGGCATAATGCGGCTTGTATGCCTACTGCTGTCCAGTGCAGTTTCTGCCAATCTTCGTGTTTGTGCTATGTTCTCTATAACGCTCCCGGCCGTAAGCTCTGATAGATGAGGTTTTCGAGCAGCACGTTGCTTTCGTGCACGACTTCGCAGAGCCTATATTGGTTTAATGTAAGTAAATTTCCAAACCAAGTTGAGATGTAAGCATTAAAGTAAGGTTGAAGTGATGATGAAGTTTTAGTTAAATGTGATATTTATGATTTGGGAAAATTTTGGTATTTTAAACGGTTTGGATTTAGTTGTCAGTGAATCGTGATGTGGTCGTATATAGGTTGACTACCACTATTTGTGGTCATGCAAATGTGATTCTGCGAGTTCAAAAGTTTATTTGCACGCGTTATGCAAATGAATGTATGTTAATTTCAATTTAAGTCCATATATTGACAATTTGTGATATGTGTATATGATTTTAGCAGTTCTGTCTGTGTGGCATCAGGATTGTAAATGTAAGTATGTTTACTAGTGTGTTTATAAAGTTGATTTGTTTATTAAAATTGTCAATGCATGGCAACACCGATGAATGGTAAAAATTACCTTGAATATATTCCAATACAAAAATACCATTATGATGCATGGTATGTAGAAACTACTGAGCGAGGAGTACACAATGAAGTCCGTATTGTAAAACACGCATAAATCGGGATCACGGTTAGGTGTGTTGTTAAGACCTAATACAATGGGTGAACCAATTGCAGCCGATATTGCCCACACAAGTAGAATTGTTAGACAAACACGGCGACTGTTCCTGTGCTTGGCGTACTTTATAGGTTGCGTCACAGCAATGTATCTGTAAATTAAATAGAATTATAGCATGAGAATTTTAAAAACAAATCCAAAAATCCAGTACACCATACTCATTACAACTTATAGCTTAACAAAAATTTTTGCTGCATTGGAAAAAATGTAATACTTAGATTGAGAAAGCATTTCTTGCACAAACAAGAAATAAAACTCACAACACAACTGTTCCTACATTTTGTTAGCTTGTTTTGACTGTTTTTAACATGGACATGAAGTGCAATAGACTCAAAGAAGCAGATTTTGACGTTTCCTACCATGAGACGAAAAGTTTCAACATTATACCGGCAGTAACAATAGTTTTGCTTTTCTCCGCAACTATAATTATAGTAAACAATTTTTGTAAGTATTTTCTTCGCTTAATCTAGGAAATTTCTTGTATAACCAACCCAAAACTGAAAATTGTATGTAGCTTGTGGCACCTATTGAAACCACATATTGTCATTATCAATTTCACGGGGTACCATCACATTTCCACACCAAATGTCACACCGTTCACTGATTTTCTCTAGATACAATTATTTTTTGATATTCTACGTGAAAAAGGCTTTAGCTGTGGAAAGATAGCCACGATAATATTAACTTCCTTACCAGAGGAAGATAAGGGATCGTTGTTCAAAGTAACTAGGTTAAAATTTCCTGAACCATCAATATTACTGTATTATTTTTCAATTGATTTATTTGTATAGTTTGTTTTTTTGAAACCCAGAGAAAGCAGATTCGATCCAGAAGTTCCGCAACAACTGACCACCTGACGAGATCACCTCGGGAACAATTTGTGATTTTAATATACACAATGGTTTTGAAGTCGCAAGAGCTTTGGTAAATCATTATCATATTATTTATTTTCGGGTTGGGAGGTAAGCGCGTATATATTCTTTAGTTTTATTGACTTATTAAGTGCTACTTTGAAAATTTCCAATAACGCAATTATTGGTGCAAGTTTTGACAAACACAAAAAGACAATAAACTTCCTTATCGAAATAAGTTTCAAATAGAAATGTAACTGTAAACCATCTTATAATTTCTCGTCAAAATCGCTTGTAATTGAGAAATCTATATTCCTTGAATTTACTAGAAATAAACGAAAATTATATAAATTTTTTTATTATTTACACTAAGAAATAAAATGCTTGACAGTGAAAAACCATATTGTGGAAAAACTATATTTTGTTTTAGTGGTAGCTAATCTCTGAAATCTCAAGTGTAAACATTTAAATTTTTCTTAGGCATTAGTTCCTGACTCAAGTAATAATAAGCTGAATTCTAAATATAATACAAGATCGAATTATACTATATCTATTAAACTAAAGATCAGTATATGAATTAAGATGTAAATAAATTGTTTTTGATTTATATTTGACTTAAAGTACTTAAAGTACTTCCGAAAATATCAAAAATGGAAAAGTACAAATGTTCAAAAATCCATAGGAGACTAGCTTGGTCTTTTTTTGGATCTTTCAGAAAGTAGTTGGTTATATACTTTCTGCAATTGCTTATTCAATTTTCCAAAATAAAAATGTAGTACTGTAGGCATAGTTTCCAGAAAAGGTTCATATGATTCGGACTTAACAATATTCACTTCGTTGCACTTAACATTAATTTTTTAAGGCTCTGAAAGTTAGGCAAATTAACAAAATAAACGCAAATATCACAAATAAAATATGAAATATGAAAATAACGCAAATTGTGAAAAGTTGAGTTCTTTTTGAAAACAAAAAAGCGTAAAAACGAAGCAAAATTAAATGAAATCAGGAAAATAATCTTTATTTACATTTGAAACATTTTCACAAAATTTAATTAAATTTTGATTGATTGCTTTGCCGGAGGGGGTTTCTGGATTCGCGTAATTTCGAATCTGAAGTTTGAAACGTTCAGTACATATCTTTTATTATAATATTTGTAGTTTTCATCTGTGCTTTTGTATTTCGAATCCGGCCTCCTGTTTACGCAGCACATTTCTGTAATATTTGCTCAAATTTGCGCTACAAAACTTACACATACCCAAACCTTCTACTAGTTGTCTTCCTGCTTCTCCGACAGAATGTGTTGCGTGCCCTTTTTTCCAAATTTTTCATTTGAAGCACATTTACATGATGCCTTTTTAGTGACAAGGATAATGAAATACAAATTTAATTTTTACACAGCATCAAAGCTTCGAGGAAACCCAAATATTTCAAAATATTAAAAATGCCTAAAATATATTCTGAAGTTTTCGTATCTTTACTTTAGTCGCTTTTAGGTGAACTTACTTGCTGGGATTTAAAGCAGTCAAAAGTAAAATTTAAAATGTTAGCACAATTTTGATTAAAACATTTTCAGTGACTTCGACTTATTGATTGATGTGAACAACGAATTGTGCTGTTTCAGCAGATATGAGTATATTCATAATAAAATGTGAATATAAGTTTGATTGAATTATTTAATATAAATTGATTTTTAGTGCGTTAATTGGTAGTCTTTCAGTCATTTTTGTCTAGTGTGAAGTGTGAACCTATCCAATCTGCAATAACTGATCATTGATACATATCGGGACATCACTATAACCCTAATCAAAGATTACACAAAAGCAAACTGTTTATAATAAGCACTGTATACTCTATTTACTAATTTAAAAAATCGGGAAGTGATACGAAAACAATGTAAGTAGTGATAAGTAATGACAAGTTGCTGGTCTATACTGGTTGAAATTTATATAAAACAACAACAGTATTTTCTCTACCTCGGCCAGTATAGGTATAATGGCCATACATATCGGCCAGTAAGAAACAAAGTGTTACCAACGCAATAAGCGAACTATTGTGAACCTTTATTGGAAATTCCAACAAATGTTGCAATCATATGTCAAAAATTATTTGTAAAAAAAAACTCAAACACAATTCAAAAATCTCATAAATTTGAAAATAAGAAAGATTTCAGTGTTCTTTTTTGAAACTTTCAACATTTTTCCCATTCCTCTTAATTTTGTATTCATTTCAATTTTCAATCTACGTTAATTATTTATTTTTTATACAAAATGTAATTTGTTTGCATTATGCTGTGGTTATTGTTTCTTAAGTGCCCTTTTCACAGCATCGTCTGCTGTCAGCGAACGATGTCGTGACTTGTCATTACATCAAATTTTTCGACAATTTTTTAAACACGCATCCAGCAAACAATACAAACATTGTTCATTCATCAATATTAAAACAATCGCTAAAGTGTCAACAGCGACTGCTATGCGTAATATCTATTTATAATATTAATTTATTTTTATATATAATATTTTATTTAATATTTTAAATATTTAAAATAAACAATTCATTGCTATTTAATGTTTGGTAATTCACATATTTTTGTTAGTCCAATTTAATTAATATTTTAAATATTTTGAATAACATGTTCAGAAAATCAAGTCATTTTACAAGATAGAAAAGAAAAATAACATTAAATATAAAAGATATAATTCATTCATAGTTGCAAATCATCGTCTGCTAACGGTAAATCATGCGTGCATTTAAACGATGTTTACGCTTTCACTTCTCAAAATAAATGAAATTTTCCATACCGACAAAATCCGACTGTATATGGAAAAAACACGAGCGTGTTTGAAGAAATATCAAAATTTTTTGATTTTTGTCAGCGTATTTCTTAAAATTTCAAATGTTGCAATTAAACAAATTTCGCATTTCACAAAAAAAGTGGAAAAAAAATTCTCATGTGTTTATAAGAGCATAAAGGGATGAAAGTTAAAACTTCGGTGAAATGCATGTATGAAATTATTTTTTAGCATATTTGTTGTTTTATCTGGGGCGTGTTTAAAAAATTGTTGAAAAATTTGATGTGTAATGGCAAGCGACGACATCATGCGCTGACAGTGGACGATGCTGTGTAAAGGGCCCTTTATAAGCACATACCGGCAAAAATTTGACAAAACTACACTCAACGGAAAATGGATGATGTTATTAACAAAAATTTTGTACTCAAAATATGAATACTTTTTTTACAATAATTTAATTTTAGTAATATTTAATAACATAATTTAACTGTGGCGATCAAGTTTTTAAGTATAAGGGTCACAGTGCAGAAGGGTTTTGGTTCAGAACTTGATTGGTTCAGAACTTATTATACATTGCACAAGTCATTAATAATTGTTTTGTTTTAAAAGAAAGTTAATAACTTTATGCTCATTTTTAATGTTACCATTGCTAATCGAGTGAAGCATACCACTTAAAAACTTGTTATTTTTTAATTGTCTACATTATTCAAATACAAATGTTGAATAATTTACAGTCATCTTAAATAGTACAACTTGACTTGTAATGGACAAATTTAATATGTGTTAATATGTGTTACAAGTACGCGTGAGCCTATTGAATTTCCATTCACTCCATTTTTAGTACCATATAGGGACATATGTATATAATCGCTCTAAAAATCTAACATAATTTCTTAGACAGTAGTAATATTTAAATAAAGAGAACATTTGAAATGATTGCATCAAAAACGGCATTCTGTATACTACAGTAACTTTTGCAAACAAATGACGTATAAAAAATATCGAGGAACTAATCTCAAAACGTTTATAAGTTAGCGCCTTCATACAAGTACAAAAAAGTTAGTTAAAGTTAGTTAGTTAGTTGGCTTTTGCCGATGAAGTTAGTAAAAAATTGAAACTGTATTAGGACATATTATTGGAATGCAAATGGCTAAAGCTCAAATAATGTTTTTTAAACAGGACCACAGTTTTTATTATGTTTGCGTAAAAACACATCTGACCCGAACAATTTTTTAAAAATTTCAAACTGCTACAGGCTCAAAATTTATATGTCAGAAGACAATGTTCTTGTGTCGGAAAAGAACCAAATTCTCAAGATAGTCGGCTCAAGATGTAGTTTAATACGCTTAAGAACTTTCTTCCGCAACCTTGTCGTATAGAACTAGTTTCTTAAGTGAGTGTAATAGGCCCACAATTAAACTTATTATATACAAGTGATATGCTAACGGTGGGAAACACATTAACTGTAACAGTTGCTGATGATACAAGAATACTACATATGACCAACACAGTGAAGCATTTTCCAATTAATTTCGTTATTATTTCAATATTTACATAATCAGAAGTACTAGATGGTGCAAGTGCAGGTATCGCTAGCAATATTGCGCATTATCGCCTGGTCAATCTTGCTATATACGCAAGATTGACCAGGATTGAAATCGCAAGTATCGGCAATCGCAAAATTTGTAATAATACACTATAATACTATATATGTTGTGTTTGGATTCAAACTTTCTGTTTTGAGAAATTATTCAATTATTAAATTATTATTATTGTTATTCTTTTTTATTCCGAGGAAATTTTATTCTATATTTCTATATTTATTTCTAGTTTTTTTTTCAATTGGCAAATAAAGAGCAGTATCCAATGCGATACTGCCCCGTTTCTTCATTTTAGCAAAAATGTTATAAATTTGTATCTTGTTTTCTAAATAATTTCCACTTGTTTGTTAGTTTAATATCTTACACTTATAAAAATTTAATAAATAGCAAATGCTTTTACTAAAATTGGAGCGATTGCTGCGCTAAAATTCAGTGGCACAGAGCAGCCCAAAAAGTAAGCTTTCCGAGCTCCTGTTTATATAGTCCATTATTTATTCTCCGCTCAAATATTTTTAAACAACGAAATAATAAAAATCATTTTAAATAACTGTAATAGTTTTTATAATAAAAAAAAGTGTGTACAAATGAATTAATTCTACATTAAATCAAACAAAGAGTCACATATAAAAACAATTGCACGCTTTAATATTTTTGTAAAATAGTGGTCCATTGTTATATATATATATAGCTATATGCACTATAATGTGTCATTGTAACGCACCGACATATCCACCAAAAAAGTATGTTTAAATACAAGTAAAGCTTTTAGATTCTTTTTGATATGTTATTAGCTGTAAATGTAGACACATTAGTCACAGACAGCTTATACATATATACATATATGTATGTATATGAAACTTGAAATATGTTATAAAAAGGCTATTCAACTAGTTATTTCGTAATCATCTTTAAATTTGTTTTAACGTGATCACAACAAAACAACTTATTATTTGATCACATGTTTTGAAGATAAGCTCGCTTGTCTTCGTGTTCGGTCGTATTTCTGTCGGGATCCATACAAATTTTGTTCTGCTTGAAATCATTGAACTGTAAGCATCAAAGCATTGCACGCATACTAAAAATATTTTATGCATTGAAAATAATGGACAAATTAAAAAATATAAAAAATGATTTTATTATATATTGCACTAAGAAAATTATTTTAGCGCTATTCCTAAGAGGTTTCTACCTAAAAATCCACTGCACTATTTTATTACTAATTGTTGAAACCAAACTAAAACTGCAAAATGGTACACATTTACTCAATCATAATCCATAATATTATTTCATCTAATTTAATATAAGTTTTATATTATTAACCCATAGGTTTGCTTGTGTTAATACACATCCAGTATGAGAAGAACTCTACTTATGTACCTATTGTAGTTGAAGCTAAGAAAACGCGTAACCATTTCCGCAACACATAACAATTTCTAATTACTGTTGAGTTACTTTCTTTAATTATGAAGCATAAGGTACATGCTTAGAACAGACTTACAATAAAAAATATGTGTACGCGGAAATAAAAATTATATTTAGAATAAAAGATACAGATACATAATAACTATTTTAATTGAAAATATGTGTGTATCCGCACATATAAGAATCACGACTGAATGTTGTATAGTATGGTGCATAATACCCACTCAAGGTGTCCTGAAGAAAGGTAAACAAAACTGTGTTCAGTGACTGTTAATACGAAGTACTTTTAAAGATTTTCTTCAAATTTCAAAAAACATATTGCAACAATGTGCAAAAATCGTACAAAAAATTTAATTTATTTCCGTCAATTGCAGCAACAATTTTTATGCATTTCATGTATTTCATGCTCTGAAATGGCTGGTTATTTGTCATATTTTTCGGTGTCGAGCTTAGGGTTTTATATGAAGTTTGTTATATCATATCATCATATTTTATAACGAAGATTTTAACAAGGTACCCAAAAAAAAAAATGGATATCTAAATTTACCATGATGTCCTACAAACATTTTTTCCCTGAAGAATGTTTGTAAAGTCACTGGAGTTAAAATCTGCCGTATTTGGCAGATCTTTGGTCGACTTTCTCCGGTTAGCTTCATTAATCGGTTTTCCAACAAAATTTTGTGGATTTTGTTGATTTTTCCGGGGTAATTGCTTCATTTGGTAATTTTTACCAGAACAACGTCTTAAGTCTAAAAATCAACGTTTAACCATTCTTTGAATCCAATATTTAAAAAATAACAACAGAAAAGCAGAATATAGACGATGCTAGATGTTTGCAGACAAGGTATGCGTGCTACCAAATCAAATCGTCTATATTCAAGTCTGCATACCAAATTTCGATCTGAGACATGTATGCGGTAAAATTAGTTTTAAGAATTAAAATAAAAAATTATGTTTAATTCTAAGAAATAATGAAATAATGAATTTTAATTTATTTTCTACAGCGTTTAGAACAGCAGCGAAGTACAGTGTGCAAAATAGTAATCGAAACTGAAGGAATTGAGATGATGATAATAGCAACATGTTATTTATTTCATTATTTCATTTTTTAAAGATTTCATATTTTTTAAAATTAAACATAATTTTTTATTTTAATTCTTAAAACTTAAATTTTTTTTAATTTAATTCTTTAAAATATTGCATTTTAATATTTTTATTCATGAAATAATTTTTAAAATATAAAAACTTCCTTAAAAAATGTTTTTAGCACAAAATAATTTTTAAAATATATAAACTTCTTTAATAATTATTTGTAGCACTTTTTTCAAATTTGCTGCTTTTAAAGAAAATAAATGTCTACAACTTTTTCAATTATTTTACAAATGATCGTCAAATGATCGCGAAATAAGAAATAAAAATTATGTGTACTCTTTTTCTCAAATATGTAATAGTTTTAACAAAGACTTTTATTGAGTATTTAATGAGTATTTAAAGAGTATTAAATAATCATTGGTTTTAATTTATATGCGAAGGGCAATACTTACTGTGCGTTAATTATTGTCTTTAAGTGTTAACGATATTGTGTGTACTGTCGCTACTTTTATTCAAACCATCAAAAATTCTAACGTTTCTGCCGGGTATTTATGGGTCTTAAAAGTTTGAATTCTCCCACCATTTGCACTAACTACTCTGTTTGTGTCTTGTTTCCTACTTACTACTTTTACTGACATAAAACTTTAATTTATCATTTTCTCAGGTAAGTGTACGATACTAAGTTTATATAACCAAAGAAGGGAGGTTAAATGTAGCTATAAGACGCACTCTTACAAAAGTTACCAACATTAGTAAAAGTAAAAGACACACAACTAATAAAAAATCGGCATTAGCTAGTATATGTAAAAATTTAAAACAGAGATATGATGTTTAAAATACTTTATATAATTTTTATCAAATGAATAAATTCAAAGAAAGATTAATCTTCTTAATTATCTAAGGAACAGTCTCATTATATGATTCTCTACAAAGCTGTAACTTATCCTGAATGCATCGTCAATTTTGTCAGACACTGATATAACGTGAGAGCAGGTTTTAAATTCTGCATACTACATCATGAAGACTCCATAATTAATTATCACCATTTGGAAACAATAGACCATATGAATTCCCGAACAATTATTTGGTACATATAAGGGGTATTCAGGCGGCTGATTAGTTGCTTAGTAGATGATTACAACAAAAATTTGCATACAAAAAAGAAACTAAGCAGAAAAGAAACTAATCAACTATTTCGGAGATTCTCAGATTAGTAAAAATTTGATTAATAGTGCTGCCAGTACCAAGTGTCGGCGCTATGAGCATTGGGTGCTTTAAAAAGAAAATGCAAAAATAATAACATAAATTAATAAATAAAATTCAGTAAAACTATAATTTTTAAGGGGTTAAAATATAATTAAAAAGTGTAAAATTGAATATTCTACTTCTTGATATATGACACGTTTGCAATTTTAGTTATATGATAAATTATATGATATGATAAAATAAATTATATGATAAATTTAAATGATATTAAAACTTATGAATATTTGAGTATTTCACTGTTAACATATGTTTCGCTTATGCTGTTGATACTAGTGCTGCCAAGGCATTTGCACACAACAATCTACTCAGATTACGCATTTTGGGTCGTTCAAGCAACTGATTAACATCAAAATGCTAATTTTTTTTTATTGAAGTTTTTGAATCAACTAAGCAACTAATCAGTTGCCTGAATACCCCTATAATGTCGGAGTATGGTAATTAATGTACACAAATCGCATATAAAAAATGCTGTTCTTACCTGTCGATTGATATTGCAACTAAATTAAATATCGATGAAGTTGAGCATATCACATCCATGGCTATGTAGAAATCACATACGAAATTGGGTAATGCCCATATGCCATTAAACTGAAAATGGAGAGAAAATAACAAGTTATATTTCACATGCAAATAATTAAAATATACAAAATATATTCGAGACAACAAGGAGAAGACAAGGGTTTTTTTCTTATTAATATGTAAACACAATTCTTGGTGTCGGTTTATCTAAGACTTATCACAACGCACCCTGTTTCAACAGAGTGTTCATACTTTTCAAAGTTATTAAGGAAATATTCTATAGTATATATTTATAGCTTCAATTATTTTTTTCGTAGAAAAAAAATCATTTTATTAATAAAACTTGGAAAATATGTAATTCAATTTTACAAGTATTTATCTATCTGACAAATAAAACCTGAATTTTTCCATCAAAAGTTTTCCGTTGGAAAGAGTTTTTATTTGATGTTTAAAATGTTATTTTTTATTTTGCAAGTGTGCCAGTTAATTATTAATATTACAACTTAGTAAGTCATAATGTACGCAAATTTGTATAAAACCAATGAATCAAGTTCATATACACTAAAAGAGATTTCGTGCAAATCAACTTAGTCAAGAATAAATTAAGTGAAATTACATTAAAAATTTCAAATGCAACATTGCAAAATATATTTCCCAAAAGGGGTATGATCGAAATTTGACATATGGAGACAGGAAGCAAAATGTGAATGAACAAAAAACAAACAAGTCAAAGGTGAGAATTTTTTAAAAGATTTTTTCTTTAATAAAAATTGATCCTTTATTTTTGGTAATCCTCTTCCCAAAACTTCTTCGTTCTTTCCTAACTTATTTCAATTTTTCACTTTATTTAATAATATTATTCAGTACTCATACTAGCAAAAGTCCAGCAATTCCTCCGTTTTTTCGAAACTGTTAACGAAATTAATACTAATTAATTTTTTTTAAAAATCATAAAAATTTTTCGATGCATTGTACGACGTATTCTATATGTACATTTAACTTTCGTAATGTTTTTAAGAATATCACATACATTATATCAACTAATGCCAATGGGAACGACCAAATTTTAATTTAATTAATATAAGTTGATTTAGCTTTAGCGAAAGCATAGTAAGAGGTTGATATTATTTCCGAATAATATTAATGAAATGCATTAAATTAATTTATATTACAATGTTCAGATATTTATGTTTTATTTACTTAAATTGCAACATTAATATTTACTTGGATTATAATTCTTAATTTTAATAAGCAGTTCCGAATACTGAATCTAATTTTGAAGGAATTTGAAAACAGATTTTTACTTCCCTATCAATCCTAGAAACGTCATAAAAAACTACACAACTTTCCTGTGTTAAGGTTAAAGTAATTCAGAATTAATATTACTATTATTTGCAAATATAAAAAGTGAAATAAATCTGAGAAAAGTGACCATAGTTTGTTTTGGACAGTCTTAAAAATGAATATTTAATAAAATGTTTGTATCAGCTAAGATGCCCCCTACGCTTACGAGGAATACCAAAATTCATTAGATCCTTGTTTCCTCCTATTTCTTATTCGGTACGAACAATCGAATGCATTGTTTTTCATACTGTAGAACCGGTCAGCTGACTTCTTAAAGCACAATTTATTCCGCTTTTACTCCTTTTAGTTTACCAGGTGTTTTCTTCTCTAGGCGCTATACATTTATATAATATGTAGTTTCTGGTACAAATGCAATTTTGTAAGAATGATTGTGAAAGAAAAGATCAGTTTTGAATAGAATGGAGACTCTTTCAGTAACTACTCCATCGGCTGTAATTAGTTTTGAAAATGATATAAAGCATATCATTTCCATTTTTGAGATTATTACAGGTAAATGTGACATTTTTAGGATAATGACTTAATATTTTAACCGCAAATACGAATTCAACTTAGCTTAGATTCAGCTTAGACTTCAATGGCCGTAATAATATTACGATTATCTTTAATGATATGCATTTTTTGAGAACTTATGGATTTGCTCAAATGAATATATTTACTGTTTGTCTTATTAAAAGGAGACGAAAGACAAATTATAGTCAATGATGGTCTAAAGCAATGTTGGTTTGCTTTTGTTCTCGTCACGACAATAGCAAAGCAGTATAAATATTGGAAATGTTTATACGAGGGTTGTATGATAAGTCAGTGACTTTTTGAATTTTCCGCGCAGTTATCAAACACCGTCAATTTTTATGTAAATGGAAAAAAGTAAATTTAACTTTCAGAAATTTCAGAAATCTGAAGAATATGCTGGATGGGGTAGCAGTTTGTATCCCAATTCGTGGATTTTGGCCACAAAGCTTGATCAGAACTCAAAATTCACTTTTTTCCATTTTCGCAAAAATTCACGAGATGGTCTTCTTTGAACTGCTATCAAACACCAACTGAACGACGTAGCTTGCTTAAAATTAGGAAGTTGCCCACTGCTAGATTACAGCTGACGACAGCACTGTTGCATTTGGAGTAACTGCGCGGGAAATTCAAAAAGTCACTGACTTGTCAAACCGGCCTCGTATAAGGACATTCTATGACATTTTTTAAGCGTGACGGTAAATATTGTTGTCATCTTGTTTTTTCTTCCGCTTGATAATCGTCAAAAACAACAACAGTTAAATTTTGAGAATAAAAATTTGACACAGTAAAGTGTTTATAAAATGGTTTTAGATAACAACATATGTATCAATGTATCTGAGCTTCATAGCGCAGTGTTAGCATGCCTGAGCGACATTTATTTCGTAATCGATACAAATTTAATTAGTTACGGCAATTCATATGAATTGTTTGCTATTTTTGATATGTATCGACATTTTGGTTATAGTTTTGATTGTAATAAAAATAAATTATATGAGCACAAGAGAATATTAAAATTGGCTGAGAAGTAAAGCAAATATGGATATATACAAAAGAATCGCTTAAATTGGTGCATATAAAACAGTTTTCATTGTTCTTGTTTTGCGCATAATATTACTGCGCTATATAGCGGGCAGATACCTCCTAGTTTTTGTTTCAATTAAGTGATATCTCTAGATATCTATACTTAAAGTTGTGATTCATTATAAGAAAATATTGCTTGGAATTTTTTGACAGTGGCTTTTGTAAACAACTTTAATTTTTGTCTGTAAAGTCTCACTGTTCTTTCACAAAGTATACGTGGTGCCCTTTAGCCATAGGATTCGATAACTTGGATTGTTTCATTAACTAAGTTTGAAGGAAAAGTGAATGCAGCCGATATTTTTGTATATTTATTCAAATTTTAATGTTCCAAATGCTTGTCCATTCAATTGAAGTCCGGTAGCAAAAGCTAAATGAATTCATTAATTTTATTAAATTACATCATTTATACAATTATCGTTGGAATATGTTTTTGGGTTTATATCTATAAGTTTCACTCAACTTTAGAGGTAAATTGACTAACACCTAATGACAGAATTTGATTCAAAATGTTTTTAAGTTATCTATGATGCCATCAATGGTATAACGAAGAAACTAAGGATGTACTGGGCATTAATAACAGAAGGACACTAAATGATTTACGAGTTTTTGTTTGTGTGTTTTTATATATAGATATTTTTCGTGATAACAAGCGAAATACATTTTTCGCATCCAGATTTGTCGAACTGAAACTTACTATCTAGTTTCTAGTAGTTTGTTGGGATAATAGACTTTCCAGCATAAGTAAAACAACTCTTTTGAAATATCTGCACGGCACTTATCGTTTTAATCATAAATGTACCGAACTTATTTCATTTATGATGTGTAAAAACTTTTTACCTGAACCTCTGAAATCAATCAAATATTCACAAATAATTAACTAATCTGTTATATTTAAATTCAAGAAAATACAAAGATGCCACAAAGAGAATCCTAAACCAAATATAAGTGAAATGCAAACCAGATTTATTGTAAGATCTTTTTTCCTTTTTTTGAAAAGGAAAGTACTGTCAAATTCTATATATAAGAAACCGGTGAGATTAACCATGAGCTTTTCTGTATCAATTTAAAACGATTTTCAATTTCCAGATGTTTTTTACGTAAAATTTGGTTTAGGGTAGAAAAGTCTTGTCCAGACAACTTATTTAAACAGAAAAAACTGAAGTTTTTAAACGTTAAATTTACAACAAATTTTTTTAGTAAAATATTTTGTATAAATCAACTTATTTGGAGCGGATTTGGAAATTTAGTTTGTTTGAATTTTTGTTTGTCTTCCCTTAAAAGCAAACACAGTCGCTGTTAAATGCAAAAAGTTTTATTTCCTCCTGCAAGCCGTAAACACAACAATAAAATTGATGGGAAAGCAAACAAATAAGCAAAGCTTCCATAAAAATTTAGTGCCATGGAGAACAGGAAGACGAAAAATTGAGCAACTTCAGTAAAAAACAGATACAAAATTTAATGGCGAAGGGGGTAGGGTGGAATAGAAAGAGAGGGGTTTCAATTCAGTCACGAATGTTGTAATAAATTAAGGGACATAATTCGCGCATTTTGTAATTCCAAATTGGTTATTGTGCTCAAAATTAGTAGACCAGTTCTGAAACTGAGCAGGAGTAAAAAAAGTATTTGTAATCCTAGTCCTCTCATTGGAAGATTACATTATTCTTCTATAAATACTGAGAATTACTAAAACTGCATACTTTAATTTTGGAGCATTGATTTGGCATAATTGATAGTTGACAGTGGGTTTCTAATCAGTGAAATGCGTTAAAAACAAAAGAAGCCAATAATAAAAGTTCCTTACTCATCAGAAGAAGAAGTCATAACTACTTAATAGACTATATAAGATCCAATTTTGGTAAATCTGATTGTGAACTCATATCTATTTATTTAACTTCTGATAATCTAGCACCTGAAAACTACTTTAATTAATTCGTTAAAGTATATCTGAGTTCAGAAAAACCGAACAGTGACATTGTGGAAATACATTGATTTGTAAGTTATTAAATATAGAAGGAAAAAATATAAAAACTTTTACCACGTTTTCCATTTTGATTCGTTTTCTATTTTTTATTTCAGCATTT